CCGATGTTACAGAGTTGATGTCTGGAATGTAAACGCCCAAATATGGTGATGCTTGCAATGACTTCCTGTTTATCAACGAGTATATCTCGATGAAGGATTCTTTTTAGGGGATAGCCTGTTGCTGGTTCTAATACTATACAATGACACCTTAAAATAGCTTTTTAAACAATCTACTGTTAGATTACGTCATATTTACAGCTATAATGCATGAAGCCCTTACAGTATCATCATCCTACACACAGATATGCTCCAGCACACCGTATATACACTGATGACATGGGTTTACCACATGTGGCCAGTAACATGTAATAGGGGAACAACAACAGCCGACTGGTTGGCCTCCAACAAATGTTTAGACAAGGAGATTGATTCCAAAAACATTGGCCAAAATCTCCTGTGATCAATATCTTGTTACCCTGGCAACATTTACTACTATTAATTGGAAAACAGCAGCCCATAAGGAATATCTACAGTGTATTTAATGGTTCTCTGTGAGGGTTAATCGACTGCTCTATAAGGTATTAATAGCACTTTATATCTGTTACTCAAGTTATGATTTAATATTGGTGTGCTATTAAATCAAAAGACTGCTTCATACATGTCACTGCGACAAGAATGGGGAATTTGGTGTTAGTCAAGTTTTTTTAATTCTCTAATACCTTACTTGATCTAGTAGCATCCCCATTAGGGCAACAAAATGGTGGAAAATTCAGTAGAACTGAAATGTACATAGTTATATGTTTCCAATATAATCTCCTGGTTTTTAGACATTTGCCCAAATATAAGGCTAGAAAATATAACCATATCCGTGTGATCTTAATTTCTTCCAAAGTAGCAACATCCATCTTAGTTTGGTTTAAATATGGATTTGCATTGTGTTTAACCATTGCATTCCAGAAAGCAACATTTTCCTAGAATTTCTATCTATTTTTAAGTACTGTGACCTTGATGGTTTCAATTGTCTCCCCCCAAATATTAGGCATGCAGTTTTTGTTGCGTATACATTTTATAAGTTCATCACCATGAACACAAGGTGGTTGGGTAGTGCAGTGGATAGCACACTTGCCTTTCACCGAGGCAGCCAGGGTTTGATTCCCCGATAGGACGTAAAAAGGTATTGGGTCACCTGCCCGACCACGTGGGTTTTCTCTGGGTGCTCCAGTTTCCTCCCACTAAGACCCTCTCACGCTACCACCCGGGCCAACAAGCGTGATGAATGAAAGTTGACATAACTTGTTTCATAATTGTTGTAAAATAAATAGTGTATTTTTGACACAAGGATCTCCGTATCAGTGATTATTAAATATTATTGATATCATTGTTATCTTTAATCTTTATTAAAATGTATAAAAGAAGATGAATATAAAAAGCAAATACCAGGTACTCACGAGTTTGCTGTATATTATAGTAGGGGAGGTAATATCAACCAGACCACTGGGTTGTCTGCCCTTTGACTCTACTGCTGGTGTGAGGAATGCTGCCTATTTTCCTCAGGTTTTAAAACATATGTTGCTCCTAAAAGTACAATAAATGAAATAGTGTTAATTGACTTAATGTTTAACATGTAACATACCTCTCCCTGCATCCTGAGGCATTCCATGTGTTACTAACAAAACACATGAATCATAGCAAGATTGTGATACAGACACTGTATGACAAATACAGGTCTGTAATCTATTGACTGGTGTACAGACATTTAAAAGTTCAAATTTCTTTCTAAATCTGCCCTATTAAAAACTGAAACATATGTAACATAAATTGACAAGAAGAGAGTATGTTCACATTTCTCTGTACTCCCTGGAGCTCCTTGATTGTATAACTTATATTTACCAGTGCGAGTGTCACACACCAGTTACTTCTGTCGTGTAAGAGATATAAAGTTAGTTTTATTATAGGAACAAGTCAGGTCTGTTATAATGGAATGTACTGTTGTTGTATTGGAGATAGTGGTAAAAGCCAGCCCCATTTTCAGCTTTCATTTCCAATATATAGGAGATAACAGCATGTCTCTCTCTATATATATATATACACCTTATCAAATGCCAACAAATGAAACTCAATATAAATGACAAAAGCAGGCACCCATAACCCGAACAGTGCGAGGTACCACATACATATATGATAACGAAAATAAATTGTTTACTGTATCTTTGTTACTATGGATAGGCAAAGTGATGCATGAATTTCTGTTTCACTTTCCATTATTCAGTGTTGTGAAATTGAGTTAGTGACATGACTCATTCAGCTTTTTATTGCCCTTTAATTCCTGTGCTATTAACAGATTAACATGATTAAAATGACTGCCAAGCATGTCTGTGTATTTCTGGAATTGCAACCAACCTAGCAGAATTTTAAAGAGTGTATAATTATAATATGCCACACAAACTGACATGACCATGTTAAACAAATGTCTTTTAGTTTTCAGATCTCTCCTTATACATACATGTATTTGTTGCACTACTTGTTCAAATCAATTTAGTACATGTGAATGATGTTATTGTACAGATTAAAAATCAGAAAATGGAAGCATGATTACATTAAAGAAAGGAAAATATTTTTCCTGAATCTTTATAAAATGACTGCTATATATAAAGATATTGCATTTAATGAAGATTTTAAGTAAGGGTGGTCGGGTGGTGCAGTGGATAGCACAATAAGTCCCGCGCAGACCTCTGAACAGAGCTTGCAGAATTTGTTTTGTCACATGTTCATTCAGTGACGCAAAAGAAGATTATTATTAGCTATTGAAGAATGTCCGCAAATCAATGTTTCTTTATTTCAATATTCTACGTTAATGATGGCCAAAGAAATAAAACATGTGACTTGATTGGATGATGTCAAACTCATAGTTTTATCTTATAAACCACAGTGCTCTGTTACAATTGACAACCATGGGCAAAGCTGGCCCTTATTCAGAGGGGATTCATTTAGGAGCGAGTCGAGGGCAGGGCCTTGGTAAGGGGGACAAGTGGGTACAACAACCAGTGGCTTTTGTTTTGTTTTGTTTCTATGTTTGAAAATTTGTTATCAGTAGCTATATATAGACATATACAAATGTAGTCGTGTCTGACAGCTCTAACACAATACAAGTATCAAAAAACTGTCAGGCTGACTGCGAATAACTTTGAAATTCTGAAATGTGTGTGTTTTTGGAGGAAACAAGAGTTCATGTCCGCAGAAGGAGAATACATTTTACGTGCATATACATGTAGGAGGTTTTTAAAAGAAAAAATATCCATCAGATAAAGGCATCTTTCCAACGGTACTTATCTTTATTCCCTAGATCAACTAGAAATGTTGTTTTTGATGCAAGAAAGTTAGGTGGGGTCGACATATCGACATTGAGAGCTTTCCTCCCTTCTCAGATATATGATAATTGGGGGTGTCATTTTTACCGAAGTCGATATAAACCCCTAAAACATTACATAAAATTAATCTGAACACCTTAGTTTAGGTCCAAATATAGCTGTAACAAATTCTCAGGTCCCTGTGCTGTAACACTTTGATGAAATTACATAAACTTTCAAATGTAAGTGACCAGGGGTTTAATTGAATGCAGCATATTGAAATGTAAATTAACTCAACTTCATGGTTTTGTCATATGGTACTTGAAAGTTGAATTCTGTTGAAAAATGAATTTGCATGATTTTCAATCTCATTTCTCTCAAAAAGTAGTAACATATTACAAAAGGCCTGAACCTTGACGAGGGCAGCAGCCTTAAATATGAACTTGTTTGAATTATTTTAATACTCAATACTTGTATAATAATCAGTTGAGAAATAAAGTCCCTTGAGCAATGTACGTATTTGTACAATGTACAAATTTAAACAGGTAGAAAATTACATCCTGAAACTTCATTGAGAAGTTTTAATTTCTTAATTAATGCTACATTTTAGTCATATCATATAGATAATCAACAGCCAACTAAGAAGGAATTTTGCATAAATCTTCTAGTGTTTAATAATTATAAAACCCCAGATATGTTATCTAACCCTTTAACCACTATAGACCATAATGGACTCATCCAGATAAATCTGTGGTAAAGTCTATAAAGTTACCTAACTAGGGGTGAAAGGGCTAATGACCAGGTGGAAAGGAAATGTCTCTTAGGAAACTATATATTCAAAGCTATTTTTAAAAAGACTATATCAATTACACACCAGAAATACATCATGTAAGTTAAATTAAATACTAACATTTTACAATAACCATCCATATTAGAATGATATGCATTTTGTAGTTTTGGTATTTATTTACTAAAACCGATTCATAGTTTGAAAACTTACCATTTTGTCATTTCCTTTTTTAAAACAAATTACTAAATCCATCCAAGTTTTGTTTTCTGTACCACATTAACACTCCTGAACGCTATATTGATGCATTACATAAGTTGTACAGTATTCGGTCCGATCCGTAGTACATAGAAAGGGGTGTGACCAGATTAGTCATAAACCTCTAAATTGGCTCTCAAGTGGCGCAGAATTTAAAGTTGTTTTGACATTATGTAGGCACATCGAACTTCAAAAGGTCACTCCCATGCATATAAGTACAGTCAGTTAAATTTACATGAAATTTAAACGAAAACTTTAACTGTAGATACATTTAAATTTGCATTCAGTTTAAACCTCCAAGTAGAAAATACAAATGTGTATATTGTCCTATTTTACAGTACTGTCCGACCGACATGATGTATCATTCCTACCAACATAGATACAGGAACGATTATGGCTAGATTATGGGCACCAGAGTCAAATTCCTGGGTGATATAAGTGCTATGGAGCCTACTGTATGTATAAAGGTAATTATCTGATGGACGTCTATATATGGAGATATTGTCAGTTAATAATCATACAGTAATACTATTAAGCACTGTAAGTTATCACCGTATCTTGATCCGATTCAACAGATTACTGATATGGCCGTAGTGATATTGGTATAATTTTACCATAATTCAGGTACATGTAGCATATTAATGAACACCTCTTTAAGATCAATCTTAAATTTGTATTTCAGAGATGAAAGTTATAAAAAGTTGGACATGAATTTTACAGGAACATCAAATCCATCCCAAATTCTTCACCATTTATGCTATATATGGTATATAATTTTCATGAAGATTTTTTTTCCCAGTTTCTCCATAAATTCTCATTCAATTCTCCTTGAAGCTGGTAAAATTTACCCCTTTTTTACAAAATTTCGCCTAAATAATAAAAAGTTAAAAATCTCCCAAAAAAAATGTTTGTCCCTGAAAATGTATAACATGTCATATGGCTTCAGAATACAGAATGACATACTCCAAATAAATACATTTAAATACAGATACCAGGTAGTATTTCTTTTAGAAGATTTGTAACAACATAGCCTCAGATCTGGACAGAAGGAAAGCATGTAAATTAAAATATCTTCATTAATCTCTTGTACATTGTACATGTATATTTTGTACAGTTTGTTATATATATATTTCATTAATTTCAAAGTATCAATTTCAATTCTCAAAGATAACAAAATAACCTACAATGTATACAGAACTATAACAGTCAATGTTTCCCTGTTAACTCATTCACCCCTGAAGACACATTTAAACTTTTCCAATTCAAAGGTTAGAAGAGTTCATTATTAAATTTCAGGGATGAATGAGTTATAAGGCTATCACAGTTGGCATTGTAACCTTCATTGTGATGTTAAGCTCATGAAAAGCCTGTATACTGGCCATATGGTACCCGGTAGAGTGAATGGTTCTAAATCCTGCCAACTACTTCCAGATAATTCTGTTATCCTACTGCAGTCTGGCAACTGATGCAACCCGATTCTGAGGCTCAGATCACAAATACTGAGTTGTCTTCGAAACTTACTGTAATACTGGCTTTAAACCTTTGGTATGACTGTATCTGTAAATCGAATCATGTCAGAATATTCATGTGATATTTTACAATTCAAAACCATATTCCTGCTTTTATTTTCTATACCTGACAGTAAATTCTGGCATGCAGTATATATATACTGCCAATAGATATTTATATTCTCACATCAATGAATTCTCCAAGGTCTCTGAAGATTTGTGTTTTTATTCATATCTGATGTTTGTAGGACACAGAATCATTTCACCTTTATTGATCAATTCATTCTGTTACTAACTTATATGCATAGCTAGCTATATATAGTCACATAGACGTTTCTATGTCACAAAACTTTTTTTGGACTGTTTAATTGAAATATCATTATATACCTTTATTTTAAAACACCTACATTACCAAACCTGACCTTGACCTAGCTGAAAGCAATCAATGAATCTGACAATCATTAAGACCTGTGGTTCATTTTAAACATCCCTATATATATATTTACTACTAATGTATATTAAGTACCTGAATTTTGAGTTAACTTCTTTTAAGCAGAATCTATTTATTACCCTCAAAGATATTTTTACTGTTAATGCATACTCTGGCTTATTTCAATATGACCAAAACATCCAATATAACACGACTATATGAACTGATAATACATATTTACTAACTGATCACATGTGAGAAACCATTTTGGAAGTCTGAACCATTACATGTTTCATTTGATTTAATGTAGTATCTGTCTATAAAGACCACTACCTATCAGTCTATACATTGTAGGTTTGTACTATCTGTCTATAAAGACCACAACCTACATTAGAACTATTAATCATATCAGTCTCTACACTGTAGGTCTGTACTATCTGTCTATAAAGACTACTACCTACATCAGAACTATTAATTATATCAGTCTCTACACTGTGGGTCTGTACTATCTGTCTATAAAGACCACTACCTACATTAGAACTATTAATCATATCAGTCTCTACACTGTGGGTCTGTACTATCTGTCTATAAAGACCACTACCTACATCAGAACTATTAATCATATCAGTCTCTANGGGTTTGTACTATCTGTCTATATAGACCACTACCTACATCAGAACTATTAATTATATCAGTCTCTACACTGTGGGTTTGTACTATCTGTCAATATAGACCACTACCTACATCACAACTTTTAATTATATCAGCCTATACACTGAAGGACTGTACTATATGTCTATAAAGACCACTACCTACATCAGGACTATTAATCATATCAGTCTCTACACTGAGGGTTTGTACTATCTGCCTATAAAGGCCACTACCTGTAGGTCTGTACTATCTGTCTATATAGACACTACCTACATCAGAACTTTTAATTATATCAGTCTATACACTGTAGGTCTGTACTATCTGTTTATAAAGACCACTACCTACATTAGAACTATTAATCATATCGGTCTCTACGCTGTGGGTTTGTACTGTCTGTCTATATAGACCACTCCCTACATCAGAACTATTAATCATATCAGGCTCTACGCTGTGGGTTTGTACTGTCTGTCTATATAGACCACTACCTACATCAGAACTATTAATTATATCAGTCCCTACACTGTGGGTCTGTACTATCTGTCTGTAAAGACCACTACCTACATCACAACTTTTAATTATATCAGTCTATACACTGAAGGTCTGTACTATCTGTCTGTAAAGACCACTACCTACATCACAACTTTTAATTATATCAGTCTATACACTGTAGGTCTGTACTGTCTAGAAAGACCACTACCTACATCAGGACTATTAATCATATCAGGCTCTACGCTGTGGGTTTGTACTATCTGTCTATAAGGGCCACTACCTATAGGTCTGTACTATCTGTCTATAAAGACCACTACCTACATCAGAACTTTTAATTATATCAGTCTATACACTGAAGGTCTGTACTATCTGTCTATAAAGACCACTACCTATATCAGAACTATTAACTATATCAGTCCCCACGCTGTGGGTTTGTACTATCTGTCTATAAAGACCACTACCTACATCAGAACTATTAATTATATCAGTCTCTACACTGTAGGTCTGAACTATCTGTCTATAAAGACCACTACCTACATCAGACCTATTAATTATATCAGTCTCTACGCCGTGGGTTTGTACTATCTGTCTATAAAGACCACTACCTACATCAGAACTATTANATTCATCACATATGTGTCAATTATGTTATTGGTAAAGTTGATACCAAACATCAAATAGTTCACAGGCTATCTCCTGATGCATTCATACTAGATTTCAGTCTGTTTCACTCAGTTCAGCACCCGGTAGCCATGGTTACTAATACATAAAGTTGTATTTATTGAAAATGGGTAAAAATGGGTAAAATATCTGTTTTCATTTTAATTACACTATTTTAGATGTTTTTTTCCACTTGATTCAGCATACAGATGAAATAAGCAAAGTCAGTAATGTCAATAAATTTTATTTCCATAATTACAGCTGAAGAAAATCTTTTTTTTCTAGCGAAATATGTTAAATGAACAATTTCTGAGGGTCACTGTCAATTCTAGGCGAGGAAAGTAAATAACGGTTGCTATGGTGGCACTTGTCTGATTTCTCAGAATATCTTACATTTCTGTGCTGTTCATCGGTTACGGGAAGTGTGTCTGTTGCTAGTTTGTTGTTGAGATGGGTTTCCTAGTGTTCAATATTTTGATATCAGTGATCCTCGATGATGTCATAGATGCCCATTGATGACGTCATAGTTATGATGACATCACAGTTACTATGACGTCATCAAACAAGACAGTAACATCATAGTATCACTGTACTGTTTGTTTTCTACATGCACATGATCTCAAGGCATCATATTTCACCCAAAAAGAAATTTTATTCATGAAAACTACAAACCTATTCAAGTTTTCATTTTTCAGATTACCTCCCTTTGTTGGTAGTTTGAGAGCAGAATTGGTAAATACACTTTTCAGGAGAATTCATATTACTCGGTCACTATTAAAGTGAGAAAGGAAACGGATACATCATTGTGTTCATTGTCGCATTTTCCAGACATTTAAAAGGTTTTGATTAAATTTTGGGGAAAAAAAAGTGATGTATAAGGTAGCAGAGTACAGTAGAGGGTTGTGGCCATGGGTGATATTTTTGTTAAATGGCTAACCCCTGTATAATGATATGTAAAAAAAATATAAAAATAAAACTGTACTAAAATTGGTATAAGCATGATGAAGTGGGCTATGTGAGCTTCACATTTGTAAAAAAGAAAGAAGATTTCTTTGGTTCGAGAATAAAATTTTGGCCATAATACGAAAGGGTGCGTACACATGAAAAGCTAGCTTTACAGGAGGTAAAATTTTGACAACAGCACACGACGCAAAATTGCAAAAAATCAAGTTCTACAATTTTACTGCGACCCAGATAATTCTGCAACCAGGTAGGTAATCTTTAATTTCAGACAGAGCTTAGGAAAAAAATTACTACTTGCGGGGGTCAAATTTTGGGTTAAAAATAGCATTTTTTGGCATTTTTTGGTAATTTTTGATGTGGTAACCATGGTTTTCACACAAGTGACATACATAGAAAAAAGAGGTTTATACACTTCTCAGTGCTTTATATGTATTGTAAATGTAATGCAGTTTACAAATATATATACATGTATACATGTGTTGTGTAGGGTAAAACCGCTGTGTTTACATTTCCTCGACATGTGCCTTGTTTATCAGAGTCGGGCCATTTCTACTGTATTCTGCTACCATATACACATAGAACTTGATTTTTTCTGAAAAAATCCCTTTTTATGCTTGATTCAGCTTCACTTTCATTCATTAATACTTAAAACTACTCAAAAACGCCAAAAAACCCGTTACATAGATAGGTCTATATATAGGTCATTAGCCTGTTACCTGTGGATGTATAAAGAGAGGTAACTCGCGCTTTCACAGGCACTTGTGAAATTCTGCAATTCATCACATATGTGTCAATTATGTTATTGGTAAAGTTGATACCAAACATCAAATAGTTCACAGGCTATCTCCTGATGCATTCATACTAGATTTCAGTCTGTTTCACTCAGTTCAGCACCCGGTAGCCATGGTTACTAATACATAAAGTTGTATTTATTGAAAATGGGTAAAAATGGGTAAAATATCTGTTTTCATTTTAATTACACTATTTTAGATGTTTTTTTCCACTTGATTCAGCATACAGATGAAATAAGCAAAGTCAGTAATGTCAATAAATTTTATTTCCATAATTACAGCTGAAGAAAATCTTTTTTTTCTAGCGAAATATGTTAAATGAACAATTTCTGAGGGTCACTGTCAATTCTAGGCGAGGAAAGTAAATAACGGTTGCTATGGTGGCACTTGTCTGATTTCTCAGAATATCTTACATTTCTGTGCTGTTCATCGGTTACGGGAAGTGTGTCTGTTGCTAGTTTGTTGTTGAGATGGGTTTCCTAGTGTTCAATATTTTGATATCAGTGATCCTCGATGATGTCATAGATGCCCATTGATGACGTCATAGTTATGATGACATCACAGTTACTATGACGTCATCAAACAAGACAGTAACATCATAGTATCACTGTACTGTTTGTTTTCTACATGCACATGATCTCAAGGCATCATATTTCACCCAAAAAGAAATTTTATTCATGAAAACTACAAACCTATTCAAGTTTTCATTTTTCAGATTACCTCCCTTTGTTGGTAGTTTGAGAGCAGAATTGGTAAATACACTTTTCAGGAGAATTCATATTACTCGGTCACTATTAAAGTGAGAAAGGAAACGGATACATCATTGTGTTCATTGTCGCATTTTCCAGACATTTAAAAGGTTTTGATTAAATTTTGGGGAAAAAAAAGTGATGTATAAGGTAGCAGAGTACAGTAGAGGGTTGTGGCCATGGGTGATATTTTTGTTAAATGGCTAACCCCTGTATAATGATATGTAAAAAAAATATAAAAATAAAACTGTACTAAAATTGGTATAAGCATGATGAAGTGGGCTATGTGAGCTTCACATTTGTAAAAAAGAAAGAAGATTTCTTTGGTTCGAGAATAAAATTTTGGCCATAATACGAAAGGGTGCGTACACATGAAAAGCTAGCTTTACAGGAGGTAAAATTTTGACAACAGCACACGACGCAAAATTGCAAAAAATCAAGTTCTACAATTTTACTGCGACCCAGATAATTCTGCAACCAGGTAGGTAATCTTTAATTTCAGACAGAGCTTAGGAAAAAAATTACTACTTGCGGGGGTCAAATTTTGGGTTAAAAATAGCATTTTTTGGCATTTTTTGGTAATTTTTGATGTGGTAACCATGGTTTTCACACAAGTGACATACATAGAAAAAAGAGGTTTATACACTTCTCAGTGCTTTATATGTATTGTAAATGTAATGCAGTTTACAAATATATATACATGTATACATGTGTTGTGTAGGGTAAAACCGCTGTGTTTACATTTCCTCGACATGTGCCTTGTTTATCAGAGTCGGGCCATTTCTACTGTATTCTGCTACCTTAATCATATCAGTCTCTAGCTGTAGGTCTGTACTATCTGTCTATAAAGACCACTACCTACATCAGAACTATTAATTATATCAGTCTCTACCCTGTGGGTCTGTACTATCTGTTTATAAAGACCACTACCTTCATCAGAACTATTAATTATATCAGTCTCTACACTGTAGGTCTGTACTATCTGTCTATAAAGACCAGTTCCTACATCAGAACTATTAATGATATCAGTCTCTATGCTGTAGGTCTGTACTATCTGTCTATAAAGACCACCTCCTACATCAGAACTATTAATGATATCAGTCTCTATGCTGTAGGTCTGTACTATCTGTCTATAAAGACCACCTCCTACATCAGAACTATTAATGATATCAGTCTCTACGCTGTAGGTCTGTACTATCTGTCTATAAAGACCACTTCCTACATCAGAACTATTAATGATATCAGTCTCTACGCTGTAGGTCTGTACTATCTGTCTATAAAGACCACTACCTACATCAGAACTATTAATGATATCAGTCTATACACTGCGGGTCTGTACTATAGAGATGTTATCATTGTCAGTAATGGACAACTACATACAGCCTGATATCATTGATCTGACTGTTCAGTGATCTTGGGATTCAACTCTGCTGTAACCGATGCTGGAAGCTGTGTGATGTGTGACACTCAGAAGTAAATGGGGTGGGTATTACAGATGGTATGGATGTGTTGACATACAGGATCAATCAGAGAGAAATGATTGTCTGTATAGCTGTATACCAACTTCAGCAACCTCTATCCCAAGGGCACAACTCTCATCCATTTTAATATTACTATCCCTATAGTGTTATAAAATCTAAATCTGTGATCACGAGTTTGTGTGTATATTTAAGTACAGATAATTACCCAGTTCAGAGTATGATGAAACAGTCAATCTAACAGTGCGAGCTGATACAAATGTTAATGAAGGATTAATACCATTGAGTGTAACTGTCATAACAATGACGCTTGCAGATCCTCTTTGGTCACTGCTTAATCACGCTGAGCAGATTCTCACAGGCTGTGTACGTATCTGATGCAGTCTCACTCAATAATGAGCCTAGGCCTAGGCTTTGTGAAGTTTTCTCCATAAGTATTAGGGTTGGTAGCCGAGCCTTGGAATTGAACACGTATACTCAATACACGAGACATAAAATTAGTCGCCCCTGAAATTATATACCACCTCCATATCCAAAGCCTTGTACAGTGCATGCACATGCTATAGTATTAATCAGCACTGTGGAACACTTCTACATGTATTGTACATGGGTAAAGTGAATATTTCTAGGATACTAATTTAGAAACAGAAACTAGCAAGTTGACAATATGTGTAAAAGTTGTTTCTGTGGTGTTTTAATTTGTGCACTTTAGTATTTCCAAAATATAGAAATTTTAGAATACTGTACAATGTATTTACAAAAACATTTACACAATTTATACACACTTCTAGGACTTTTCAGCTGTACAAATATAACATAATCAAGATTATAGTATTAGTGACTATTACATTTATCAGGTAGCATTTTACCAGAAATGAATCCCAACTATGATTTAATACTAATAACCCTTAAAATGTCTGTACCGTTGTATACAAGCCCTAGCCTGTTATCTTGATTTTCCCTATATTTTTTGAGAAAATTAGAATTATCTCTTTTCTTAAGAACAAATTGCAAACTCTGATTTCATCCATTCTGCTTGCCTGCCCCCACCAACACAACAAAAACCTACATTAAGTCTATGCTTGTAGTATGTGCTTGAATTCTTATTGGCACTTTGCCACATCAGCAAATAAACAACATATGAGCCAGGTACCTGTGATTAGGGAATTGGTTATCAAGAACATTATTGTGACTGATTGTTAAATAACAGAAAAAATCTTTGTTTCTTTTTCAGATGTCTGGTGAAGGTGAAGAATGACTTATTCCGTCTTTGCGCAGTGCAGAGTTATCTTCTCTTGAGAGCAGGTATTGATTGTTACGTCATTGGTTTGTGTGAGAAAATTACGTCGTCGTTTTCTCAAAAATTGATGACGTTACTGACGTAACAATCAATACCTGCTCTCAAGAGAAGATAACTCTGCAATACGCAAAGACGGAATACAACAACTACAAGCAGCAAGATATAATGTGCCTTTGATATATCATAGCTTAGGATATGAAGTCCGAGCAAATTCATAATGATAATACTAGACCTATACAGTGAGTATGTTGTGTTTTCTAATAATCTTTACCAATATGATGAATTTTGAGGCTACTGGACTTTATACCTCTGGCTCTATATACTGTCTGACGGGTATTTTGTTTGTCTTTTGTGCATGCTATTCGGCAAATACTCTTTATCTATACAGGGGTTTATCATGGCGTTTTTTGGAAACTGACCTTTAAATGAAATTGGGGAAAATCATCAGCATATAGTATATGTAGATATTTTGGGAAGTCTTGACAATAATTATACCAACTTTGAATGCATGCAATTAAATTCTGAAACTTTTTTTCATGCCTATCTTCAAGACAACATGGGCATTCTCTCCTTCCTACATATACTGCCTTTTGATAACTCAGCCAATTAGGAGGAATTTATTCAAATTTATGCATGTATTTCTTTTAGATTTCCCAATTGGGAATTTTTCAGAGGTCTGGTAACTGTATCAACACCAGTTACCATGATGCACAAGTTAAAATTACTGTTCACAACATTATATCCAATACCAGTTTGGTACTTACATTCAGATAGTCATAGATCTAGATCTATAATCATTCACTGCACATGTCCACGTAAAAATTTACATTATATTACTTGTCAGGTTACTGCTGTCAAGTTTTGCTCAAAACAGTTCAAAGATTAAACTTGATAATTGTTTCAGCATCATACCCAAGGACTTAAAAAGCTAACTTAAAGCTTATCCAATATTTGTACCATTTATTTCCTCACAACTGAAATAGAATTGTCCCATATGCAAAAAAAATATAATCTGCAACAAACGATCAGCAGTATATGATGTGATGGTAAATTAAAATAAGTTCTACAAGTGAATTAATTATACTCTTTTAATAATTACAGATGTTTGCAAACTACTGAAGTGTAAGGTGACAGTACCAAAATTGGATCACCATACCATCATTTTATCCATTCATTGAAAGATCTGAAGAGGAATTATATTCATGTACGATTTTAACAAAAGAAGAATATCGATGAGTGTTCTTACAAACAAAATTAGCACCCAGGGCTCACTTGAGATATCTATAGAACGCTCTGAAGTCACCAATCAGCATTTCCCGTTTTTGCGAATGTCAGGACCCAAATCGGATCAAGGCTTGAATTTTGCATTATCGTATACTTCAAATGAATAATATCTTGTCAGCATATTAACATTTTATGATCACCTTTAGAATTTATATGACAAAACGTATTTCTATAGTGTGAATTTATTCCTGTAGTCCAAAACAGAATGCATAGTCCTTGCACTCACCATTTTTTAGAAATGTAATCAAAACACTGACATTTGATTTTTAATTACGTTTTCTGGTGCTGTTTGGACTTAAAAACTAATCATCTGTAAACAAAAAATGGTGCATTGCTATCTATTCTAAGGCAACATCATTGTTATAACTGATTTGTTGACATATTTATAGATTTATAAGTATTTTTGCAAAAAGTGATCCGATATGGGTACTGATGCGATTTGGGTACTGCCTACAAATTTACCTTTGTATTTTCTTTATACATTCATATTTAAAAAGCTAAATATACATACATGTATTACTGTTGTTGGCAATTCCTGCCTTTATTAAAATTATATATAGTGAAAACGTTGTTTGAGACTGTTGATATCTTCATAATTTCTGTAAAAATAATGCTACATTTTCCCAGTTCATGAAGGAACAGGCTGTTGTAAAATTTAGGTAAAAAAATCACCGTGATAGGTTTCAGTAATATAACGTTATGAGGTGTACTGTACTGTACAAAACGTATGTGTATTGTATTATTGTGCATATATAATGTTATCACGCTATATCAATTAACCAATAAAACAAATATAGCATTGTATTTTGGCTACAATGACACGTACATGTATTGAAGAATTGAGTTATTGTACAGATCTTCCTATTTACTGCTCTAACAGGCAGTCAGCCCAGGTCAGGTCAAGGTGCCTGAACATGTTCAAAGACGAATTTCCAAACAAAAATACCATACACGCCTGTAATACGACATAGTATTGAAAGGTAACAGTTTGGATAATTCTGTGTCTACATGTAAAATAAAGTTCTTTCTTTATCTCTGGCTAGTTTAGAATACTGTTAGAGCACAATACGATTTGATTTTAGAACAATAATATGTCACCAATGTAAGCATGCTTAATTACGAGTATTTGTTTACATTGACATCGTGCCGCTGGTTACGTTCGACACCTCATTTCAGCGGTATAAAAACGATTTTCACTGTGCATAAACAAGCCGAACAGACGGCGATATGTGTTATAATTTCTCTCCTGTTATTACATACATACTTACCTTAGATTTGTAATCAACTGCTCCGATAAACAAATTTGAGTGCTTTCTTCACTCTGATTTCTACCGAAATATTTGGAAGATGACAGCTTCGAGCTGTCAAAGTACTCGGAATCTGATTGGTTGAAAATAATGCTTGCCAAAGGGAGCACACTCCCGTTACAGCAAAGGTAGCAAACAAAAAGAAAACGTTTAATTTACAGTTAATGTAAAACGTATAGATTTACACCGAATCAATTAAAGTATGGAAGTATTTATCTTCACACATACAAATAAGTACCTATTTCCTATTCAATGACAATCGATTAAATACAACAAGTAAATGACGGGACTGGGAGATATTATAATTATTTTTCAAATAATATCAAACTTCAAAGGGCCGAGGAATAATGTTTTTATTCACAGGGGCTCAGTTTCGGGATACTTTCAGTTAATAATAAACTTATACACACCAGTAAATAACATTAACACTTTTTATCTGGTGTTAATTGAGGATACCGAGGTATAAAAAAAAGTACCCATAGATTCTAGGTAACCTCATTTTTTATAAGGTTTTAGAATGTGTACTTAAACACCGATTAAAAAGTGTTGCTGTTATTTACTGGTGTGTATAAGTTTATTATTAACTGAGCCCCTGTGATAAATTGTTATGTAATTAATGAATTTCAAAAAATAATGAAAACTAAATAAATAAAAAATAGAGATTTGCCAAGCATTTTAAAGTCGGCATCGGATCCGCGCTATCACATAAGAGGACAGCGAGGACTACACTTAGGACGTTGTTCCGTGGACCGCAGTAGCTGTGACAGCCTGTCCACATCTGAGGAGTTGTCCGACCTCAGGGCGTGACCTGGATGGGCAGGACTTTAGAATCTCCGAGGGCCTGGTAAGTGGCAACTTACCCCCTCACGTCGCCGAATACCGACTTCGTCAGTCCAACCAACCGCACTATTACAAGGAGGCTATTACACTAACATACCCTCCAGCACACTTACACACATGCACCCTTGCACAACACACATGGAGGTACATTCTTAAATGACTGTAAATAGGACGATAAATCCTAAAAAAAAACACCACCATTCTTTTGATACGATATATATCATCTTAAAGAGTAGCTATTTCTTACACTATGGCGCCCTCATAATTCCGTACGTTATATTGTACCATCGAAAACAGAGGTTATATAGTATTACCGTTAACGGCAACTATTGTTCTCAACTTTCGTACAATGACTATTGCCCAGCAATAAGGTACCATCTTAAACAGTAGCCATTCCGTTCTAAAAACGTACCACCTTAAACACTAACCATTCCCTACACTACGGTACCATCTTGGTACAATAGATATTTCCGTGTGTACACTTTGGTACCAATGCCAATAAACAATAACTATTCCCATACATACACGTGGTATGTTATCATATCGAAGTGAATATTCTGGGCCATTACATTATGGTACACATGAAATTCTTAATTAGGGCATTATATAATTATTCATATGGTGAAACGCTAGAACAAAGTCAGAGGGAATCAATGCTCGTGTATGCATGCATTCAATCGTTAGCACATCGATTTTCCAGTGCTTTTCCATGTTTATAAAGGCGTATCCTTTATATCAAGTTTAGACTCGTATCTAGGGTCTAATAGTACTGTACTTGATGTTTAAAGGCGAAAGCAAAGCAACCCACCAAGCATATTTTGGCTTCTTTGAATTGGCGTCCTGAAAACATTATTTTCTTTCAATATTTAATTTGTGATATATATGTTGGCTTGAGGACAGCGTTTGAATAGGAAACATAACATCTGAATATTAAATGTGGTGTTTAAAAAGCATATATACTTTTGATTATTGTTACGACGACTAACGAACGTAGCCATAGTTACAGTGTACATTTGTATCTGATTGGCTTACATTGAACACATGATGGAGATTAAAAAATCCTATCGCCCTCATTAGGAGCCGCTCTAGGGAAATATGGACACCACAAAGGAGTGCCTTATGGAGCAGACAAGAACAACGGTGCGGCAATATGATCATCTCTTATTGTAATAATAATAATAATTCGAGGTTCTTATATACACCTTTATCACGTCCTAGTTCGATAGGTCGTCTCAAAGCGGTTCACACATTATTATCCGTGGTTATAGGGCATTTCGACAAGCCAATATCTTTCTCAAATCCCTAGGGAGCATACAGCCGGTGCCGCCATTTTGGCGTTCACAACTAGCATTCAACAATTCTAGCACTATCCAACCACGTACTCATTTGCAGTTGAGTAGCCTGGAACAAGCGGAGTAAAGTATCTTGCTCAAATATACAACAGAGTGCCGTGCCGTGACTCGAACCCGCAACCCTTCGGTCACGAGCTCGGCGCCCTACCACTTGACTACCGTACCTGCGCACTGTTGTTTTATTTTGGCATCACCCCTGCAAGTCGGGGGTTGAGAAAATAATACACACGCTGTTATCCTCTGCATGT